CTCCTGTATGCTCACTTTGATGATTTTTAAGATTTTCCTGACGAGTATATTTCTTATTGCAACTAACACCATTTTGATCAACATACTTGAAAGAAATATTTTGTAATTTTGTTAAGAAGTTTTCTGAAGTTAATACCGTGCAAACATGAAGCTTTACTCCGGTATGTGTTCTAATATGTTGTGCGATATTTTTTCGTGAAATAACCTTTCCATTACATCCAGACCAAAAACAGTAGCGATTTTCCCCCTTTAAATCAAACTATTAAAACAGGAATGTAAACTAAAAATTTTAAGTTAACTAAACAGATAATAAAGGACTTTATTATCAAATAATTTGTGACCTTTTGATTTTTTGTATGTGTTTTAACATGTTCTACAAATTCACTTTGATCATAAAAAACCCTTCCGCATCCGTTCCATTCACATTTGAAAGAATATCCACTCCTTAATTTTTTAAATTAAAATACCTAAGTTATTTCTATTAACCCCAGGTTTTCCATTAACACTTGTCCTCCAACATTCATTTGTTGATGCTGAGGTAAAAATAATAACGGATTATTGCCTAAATCTTGATTCAAATTTGACAAAGTTTGAAAAGTTTCTAGGCCAGAAGGATTCACTTCTTGAGTGTATCCTTCGGCACTTTATGGATATGTCACCCCCCCCTCCTATTTTGAGTCTCAGAGTTTTCCTTATACGTAGAAATTGTCAAAGATTATTTTCTTCTCCATGTCAATCATTTTTTTATTCTTCAAGTATTTTGCTTGTTTATTTTGCCTTTTCACGTATTTTTCAATTTTGTATTTACATTTCACTCATTTCGTTTCCACATTTCACTTATTTTCTTGAAGAAAAAAAATGATTGACATGGAGAAGAAAATAATCTCTGACCATTTTCTACGCATAAGGAAAACTCTGAGACTCAAAATAGGGGGGGGGGGGGTAACAGATCCATAAAGTACCTAACCTTCAGTATTTGAGGGCATGCTTCCTGTTCCAGTTCCTACATGACCACTAGTTCCTGTTGCGCTTGTTTCGACATCACGGTATCGTGAAGGATTGAAATTCTTTTGTCCATCCTTTCCATGATCTCTTTTAGTTGAATTAACAAAATCATTTATAAAAAATAAGCAAAAAAGCAAAAATATTGAAAGCTTCATTACTTTCTGGAATTACATGAAATATTTAGAGAATTGAAAAAATATTTTGTTTATATATTTCAGATTGTTAATGTTCTTTCATATAAATCATTAACTATAATATTTCCCCACAATTTTCATTATTCAATTTTTTACTTTCTTATTCAATTGAATTATAAATTTGTATATTCAATAAATAAATATTGTTATTTATTCTTATTGTTTGAAACAAATACACTTACGGCGCACCCTAACCATAAGGGAAGTACCGGTGCTGTTCTGAGTTAGGTTTAGGAGATTTCTTAACTCTTTAAGGACTATTATCCTTCAATTCGTAACAGCCATAGGAGTCTACCCGTTGCGGATAAGACCGATTAGCCCGTTTTGGCCTAAGGTTGTTGTTAGTTCTATTCCAGCCATAACAAGTCAGTGTCATCAAGGCACTTCGAGGCTATTTACATCAGGAAATAGACAATTAAAGCCCGTTGTGTCTGATTTTACTAGAAATATCAATTATAGAACAGCGTCTGTCGGAGTAGCCTTTTTCTCTCCGTACCGCTGAAAGCTGCTCGCGACAATTGAAAATAAAAAGTAAAATATTTCTTATAAAAATTTACTTAAAAATACATTTTTTGATTAAGTTTAATAAATTTAAAATTAATTACCTAGCTAGCATGTAAGTATTTTAAGAAAGAAAATAGAGGGGTATATATTGGATAAATCTTAAAAATGGATTTTATAGATAAGTATAAAATTAAGTCACGAGCAGTTGTTTCGAAATTTCGATTTTTAAGGTTTTTTCTTTCGATTTCTATTTCGAATCCTTGCAGAAATTTTTAATAAAATTGAATTTTGTCTTATTGGCCATGGGCGACAATTCTGCCTTCTTGCCCGCCGGAAATTCAAAAGAAATATCAGTGAGCGAAATTATAAGGTGTAAATATATATAACCAGGGTTCGGATCGGAAATTTTTAAATGTAATTACATAAAGTTCTATTTGGAAGTACACAGGGAGAAAAATTTTCAAAATATAAGTACGCTATAATAAAATTTTTCAAAAATTTTTTGGACTGCGCGAAAAAGCAGGCGAAAATTTTAAGAATTTTGAAAGTCCTTAAGACAATTTCTTACATTTTAGAAATTTTAGGTAAATTTAATTTTTTAACAAAATTCAGTTGTAAGTACGTACTTACAAAAAGTACATTTTTAATTTTGGAAGTACAAGGGTCGATTTGTAATCATTGTGCTTCCAAAATAAGCACGAATCCGAACCCTGGAAAAAATAAGACAACTTGCACAACCTTCTTCAATAACCCTGAGAAGCTAGTGATTTCTGAAAAAAAACTTACGAGATATTCTAATAACCTCCATCAACTGGCAGTACTAAACTTTTTAGCTATTTGCAGTGTCTATTTTTGATTTTTCGTCTTATTTTTTCAAAATTTTCTAAAGTTAAGTAAGGAAAATAAAGGACAAAATACAAAATTTTTTGTTTTGTACCTAAAGAGGGATACAAAAAAAGAGTACAAAAGATTAAACCGGATGGAATCTACGCATCCCTTCTCCATATAAACAAATCGGAGGGACTTAAAGGGTTAAAGAGAAAGAAGTAAATAGAGAGAAGAGAGAGCTGCAATAAATTATACCTTGCCAAGACTTGATTCATGTGATTTTGCGTGGATGTCGATAAAGATACATTTGACGGAAAATCGTCTGATATTTTACAGAATCGAGGTTGAAATTATTCGGTAAATAACTTAAAACTCGGTAGACTAAAAAGGAACAGGGCCAACAGACGAATTTTATGAGTAAGTGACGTTTTAATACTTTATGGTCCACGATGTTATGGGCTTAGGGAAAGGCATTCGGAATTTTAAAAGTTTTCGTTTGATCAAGTTCGGTTTAAAAAAGTCTAGGTACAAAAACTTAATTGTTTGGGACAAAACTTTATGAGTTTATAAATGTAACGGCCATAAATATTTATTATTTAAATATTTAGAATAAACATTTAAAACAAAATTTAAAAAATTCAAAGAATAAAATATTTGGTGAAATGTCCTCTTAATCTCAATTTTTTAGCAAAAGCGGAGAGAGAGAGAGAAAGATTTATTCAACGCGACTTATTAAGCCTTTTAAAATTTTCATTTATAAGCCAGCTAAATGGAGGATGGACTGCCTTACTATTTAACGACAATTGGGAAATTAAGTGAAGGTTGCCTGGACCAAAATTCGTAATTGTACTCGTAGCCAGAGGTGATCGTATCCCGTTATTTGCTTTAAGGGCAAAACTAGAAGATAAAATTAGTTAATATTTTCTTCGATTATTTATAGAAAATGAAAAGAAATTTTTAAATTTCTCTGATCCTCCCTGATAGGATCACGTTCCTTTATAAATTTACTTACACCTGGAAATTTCCTTACATTCAAAATTTCTAGTCACTGGTGTAATAAATCTACCAGAAAGTTGATTATTATAATTACCTTTTTGTAATTTTACTAATAATATTTTCAGTCAAAATTGACTTAAAATGTTCAATAAAAGATTCAAATTAATTGTTATTTTATTTTTCCTTTTAAAAAATTATTCTGAAGGAGGGCCGAAAGAGAGGAAAACTAAAGGAAAAGGAAGGGATGAAACAAGTGATAATAACACGGAAAACCCTAGCGATTATGGACAACTCAATCAAGGGTTAATACTAATAATTTATTTAATTTAAAAATATTAAGGAGTGTTAGTTATTTTGAAGGAGGCTCTTCTGCTGTCCCAGCATTCACTTTAACCATACCTAAATATTTTTGTAAGTGGGGCGGATGTAGAGAAGAATTTGTTAATGAAGCTGAATTTTTTCAACATGTTGAAGAACATGCTAATTCAAAACAGGTTAGTAATAATTTATTTTCTTTCTCAGACTTGGGTCTATCTATGTATAAACAATAAAAGATATTTATTTGAAATAAAGTCATTACAAATTCAATTGGAGCATCAGATTAATTCATATTAAACTTGTTTCGATGACAGTATAGTCAAATTCTAGTGGCATTAGCTCTCCAAAGTTGTGGTCCAAAGTAGGGGGTTTTAATCTCATTTTACTTTACCAACTAGCTTGAGTAAACTTCTCGATTGTTCTCTGTTTTTAACTTTCTTAAATTTTTAGATGCCTTACCCCTGTAGCTGGTTAAATTGCAACAAAACTTTTGCTCAACTATCTAACCTCAAACGTCATCTTAGAATGCATACTGGAGTTAAGCCTTTTGTTTGCGAGGTACTGGCTTCGAAAAATATTTCACCTCTCATAAAATATTTCTTTTAAGTTTGTTAATCAAGATGGTGTTCATTGTAATAAAAAATTTACTCGATCGGAGTATCTTGAAATACATCAATTCGATCATACAGGGTTAATACGTCAAAAAAATATAAATGTGTTTATCCTGATTGCAATAAAGTGTGAAATTCTTTTTATTTAAATACAAAACTAACTTAGTCAGAAGAATGGAGTGAATTGATAAAGATTTCCAAGATCCTCTTTCTTTGGCCATGAGTCATGGAGAAATTTTTGTATTGAAAATTTATTTAAAAGCTTTCCCATACAGGAATTCTTAATTTCATAAGTTTTTTCGAGATCCTATAACGAGATTAGCACTTATTAATTCCACTTGGGGTTCTAATAAAAATGTCAGTACCTTAATAACGGGGGTAGTTACTAAATTTAAATAAACTTTTAAATCACCTAGATATTTAAAACTCGCTCTGGCAGATCAAATCATCAAAAAAAACACCATCCTTACAATCCAGTAGTCGATGTAAGTTTGTTTATATAATTTTTAATATTATTATTTAGAAGAATTGGTATTAATCAGATATGAATCTCACCAGTGTTGATGATATTTTGCTGAATATTAAGAGTGTTTGTGGATTGATAGGGGATTTTGATAAGATTATTTTCACAAATTTATAGAGAAATTCTAAACAAAAAACATAACACATCACCTTTAGATTAATTTTTTCAAATTTTAAGGTTGATGCAAATACATGCGAAGGAGGAGCACAACTTTTTGATGAACTAGAATATCCACCACAAGGGCGGCAACAAAATTTTGGCCATCCAGCATACCAATCCGGATGGTTTCAACATTTTGACTATCCGACTTACACACATCAAGGAGGGCCACAACACTTTACTCAATTAACAACTCATATCGAAAAGAATGAACACCATTTTGGACATACAACACACATACCTCAAAGGGATGGTTCTGGCAGTAATAATCAATCCATATTTAAATTATTTGGAAAGGAAATCTATGTCGGAGATCAAGGTGTTTATTCTGAAAATAAAATGAGTAAAAATAAAATAATCTAAAAAAGGGAAAATTTAGGAAGGTTTTTTTTCAATTTTTTTTTCGTTAACTCAAATTAAATATTTTTAAATACTGACATTAGGGTGTAAAACAGCATTGAGGGCCAAAAATAACTTAATACCGTATTTCCTAAAATAGTACTCCCCCCTGAATTAGTACTCCCCCCTTAAATAATACTCCCCTTTGGAGGAGGGTTGAAAAATAGTACTCCCCCCTTAAATAGTACTCCCCCTAAAATAGTACTCCCCCCTAAAATATTTTTCCCCTATATTTGAAAAAAATCATAAAAGAAACATTGAATTATTCTATTGAGATTTACTTATTGAATTATTTTATTTATTCTGATTAGGGTTGTCGGTTTCACTTGATTCTTCGATAACCGAAACCGGACAGTTTTCGCTTACCGAAAACGAACTGAAATTTTAACCTATAATATGTTCTGGATTGATCAAGTGGGGTCTAAAAGTTCCAATTCCCCTAGTTCATCTCTAACTAGATCAAGTAGTATGGTTTGATAAAGGAATTTGAGAGAAAAATGAAGGATGAGTGTTCGGGACGCACTCATTCCCGAGCGTTCGGGACGAAACCCTACTTGTTATCACGCCTAAATATGGATATCCTAGAATTCGTAAGGATATTCGAAGAAAAAGAGATGTGGAGGATAACGGTGATTAATGCTGATAAATCCCTGGACACAGCGATTAGGTACATCAATTTCTCAGTGACATTGAATAATATCGGCGGATATATGCGGATTCGTAAGATTATGAGTCTGAAAAGATTAAGGGGGATATCAGTGTTTTTGAAGGATATCTAGGGAATTTGACACATACAAGTGTATTAACTGGTCGGGAGTTCAAGATGGATATAGTGGTAAATTTAGATATCTACCCTTAATCGATTAAATCCCATTATACTCCTCAATATCACTCCAAATTAACTAATATCCTTCTTGATTTTCCTCAATACCCCTTATTTTATGTCACTTGTGTTTAAATGTCCCGAAATTTGCTCAATTTTATAATAATTTGAATATTTTTTGAGAGCTTTTAATAATTAAATTTTTTGAAAATCCGGGTCGGATCAGGCATTTTTCAGATAACGAACTCAAATTGATTTAGAATTTTGAAATAAATTTTCTTATGATAAATGAAAAAAGGGTTGAAAAATAGTACTCCCCCCTGAATTAGTACTCCCCCCTTAAATAGTACTCCCCTTTGGAGGAGGGTTGAAAAATAGTACTCCCGGGAGTACTATTTTAGGAAATACGGTAATTACTTATGAGAGTGAAATGGCGCTAGTACCTAAAATAATCTGAGAAGATCACAATGTTTAGTATTAAAAATTAAGTAAATTATCCCTTGTTAATAAAATAAATTAATATCTCACAAATATAAATCTAATTATATTAAAATATTAACAAAATTTAATTAAAAGATGCAATAATTCCACAAGATTTTGCTCGCAATGAAGAAGAAGAAAACGAAAGTATTTTGTTAAATTTTGTCTAACTTAAATAAATGTTTTTATCTCTCAGTGATTTTACAAGCTCAACAACAGTCAAGACAAGAGGCTCGTCGACGATTAAGTAACCTAATGATTTGTCAAAACAAATAAATATTTAACGTTATTATTCCACCTTCCCCCCCCTCCCCCCGTCAATTTTTGTTTAGAAGAATCCCAGAAAAAATTGAACGATTTCAAAATTATTCTACCTACCAAGTTTTTAAAGGAAATATTAGATGGGATGTTCGAGTAAATAATAACTAGAGACAGGATTTTAGGCAAAATGCCTGTTTTTTTCCTAAATAGGCCTGATGCTGAAACGTCCAAATCAGGCGTTATTTTTTTTTTATATTTTACTTTATCGTGCCTAAAAATCCTGTCTCTAATAATAACCTCTTCCCAAAGTCTCTAAGAATCAATACCACTTCACTACTTAGCTAAACAATTAAAATATAATGTTTCTAATTAAGGACAACCGAATCAGGGACAAGGATCGGGGTCTAATCAAGGTAAAAATTGAAATCTGTTTTTAGATTGAATAATAAATTTAGGAGGGAATTCTCGTCAACGAGGCACACCACGCCAAGGACGTGGATCCGGAGGTTATTATTGAAAATCTTTAAAATCAAATTTTAATAGACAATCTCTACAGATAAAGGAAAGGGAAAAGCACTAGATTAACGAGATGGAAACACAGTATTTGATGACTTGAGAATTATTATTTACAGTTCGAAAAATTAAACAAAAATTGAAAAAAATTTGTTGTTTTTTGACATAGTTAGCAAAATATTCTACCAACCGTATATGCTAGAATAATTACCCATTCTCAATTAATCACCCCTCTCGATTAATTTACCCAATCTAGCGTGATAATTAAACAATTTTTTATATTCTTTCAGCATATACGGTATCCTAAACTAAAACTTTTAAGTATAGCTTTATTTAAGATTGATGGTTTTTCGTGATTTGGGACTTTTATTTTTAACACAATCTAATTTTTTATTTCATTCATTAATTGTTTTTACACCCAGACTATGTTTGACAAAAATAGTCTTGATATTTTTTTAACATTTATTTTCTAGCTCCAATTGAGTTTATTTCGTTTGATTTTTTAGTAAATTTCACTACAAAAACCTTTTATTTGTGAGTGTATTTTGTTTTCCAATTTGTATGCAACGAATTTTCTAGTAAATCTCGGGTATGGAAGGACTTTTAATCCGATTGACTCTTTTGATTTAATTCTGGGTGAATTTATATGAAGTCAAAAAATGAAAATTATGCAATAAATTTTACTGAAGAAAATAATCATAGAAGAAATGAAATAAAAATATTTTGATAATACATTTAAATGAAAGTATTTTAATGCTAACGTTTCAAAAAGTTCCCTGATACAGTCGGATCTCACAATAAAATTTAACAAATACTAGATAAATACACAGCAAATTAGGAATTTGAATTCTACTTGGACGTTGAATTGGGGTTAGTTAAAATTCAAGAGTGATTTATTTCTGTTAGGAAGGTTAACAGTAGATCATACACAGCCCGAGGTGTCGGAAATCGGAACTGTCGGAAATCGGAAATGGCTCAAAAGTCGGAACTCGGAAATCGGAAATCAAAATTTTTTTCGGAAATCGGAAATCGGAAGGAAAAAAACGCCGGAAATCGGAAATCGGAAGGCGGAAATCGGAAATAAAATTTTTATTTTCATAACTGAAATTTATTTAAAATTGTAAGGTGGTAAATTATGGGCCTTCTTAAGTGTAATTTGAGGTTGTAAAAGTTCTTTTTGCAACTCAAAAGTCAAATTCGAAGGGATTAAAGGAGATATTGTGGGATTTGGTAGATTAGACGGGATATCAGAGAATTTATAGAATTAATAGGGATATTTGTTGTTTAAAATTGAGGACTGATAGAGCCTATGACCCCTTGAAAGCACACGATATAACTCAAAGTCCACATTAATCTAACCTAATCCTCCGATATACTATTCAACTTCCATTTACGGCGCCGCAGGCAAAATTTTTGGGATTTTTGAGTGCCTTAAGTCAAAAATCTTCCATTTTTTGCGCCGCAGGCGAAAATTTTGAGAATTTTGGAGGTCCTTAAGTTAGATTTCTTCGAATATTTGCGCCGCAGGCGAAAATTTTGAGAATTTTGGAAAAATCTCTAGTCGGAAATATGCTTCAAAAATTCTCGGAAATCGGAAATTTTTCCAAAATTTCGGAAATCGGAAATCGGAAGGAAAAAAACGTCGGAAATCGGAAATCGCAAGTCGGAATTCCGACCCACCTCTGATTGTCATTTATTCGGAAAAACGTGCTGTTTAGAAAAATATAAATCTGAAAACCCACTAAATAACGTGGGTGTGGTACTAGATATTTTTATTTTTTAGTTAATAAAATACCTTCAGGACGTGAACTTCCTCGGCGGCTTGCTCCTCCTCTTTGACGTGAACGTCCTTCTAAATTATAATTTAATTCTATATTTTAACAAGCAATAGAAACTGTGTCCGAGAGTAGAAACCGTCTCATAGAAACCGTGTGCTCCCTAACCGTGTGTGCTTTTTGTTTATTTATTTAAATGTTAAAATTTCCAAATCCATGATTAAACGTTAAAATTTAAATTATTGTTTGCCTTTATAGTTAGGTATTTGTGGAGATAAATGTTTCCTTGATCTAAACGGTCTATTTGACATGACGGTCTCTTTGATATGTTCGATCCAAGCTGAATGGTCGAACATATTTTCAAAATAGCGAAAGATTATTTAGGAGATAATTATTAATTTTCTCCGGAAATGATTAATACGGAATAAAAATATTTGATTAACAAATGAACATTAAAAATTGTTCAGCATCAATAAAGTTAAATTAAAAATAATTTATTACCACCAATTGCCAAGTTCCCCGATCTGAAAGGAGCATTACGAGCCGACTCCTCTTGTGCACGTAAAAGCACTGAAAAATTAAAAAAAATTTTTAGTCAACAAAATTGGTATTGTGTGCTTATCCGCCATGTGTCGTATGTTTGAAAAGGAAAATGTAGATAGAAAAATGTGGGCAGGTAACCACATTGTAGAGCCGGACCGAGACGAGATCTTCATAGAAAATTTCGGTTATCGAGATTACCACAAAGTATAACAAAATTTAATATAAATATTACTCTGTTGTTCCTCCTCTTCAGTGCTTGGATATAAATATTCAGGAAATGTCGCATCTTTATTTAAAAATTAGTAACAATTTAAAATATGTATTTTGGTTATAGTAATGGTTTGGAGACTGTGGCATTATTTTTATATTAATTTTTTAACTAATTCATCAGAATCGGTGAATTTGGAGAGGTCAAGGTGGATTTGAAGATTTAACGGAGGATTAAGAAAATTGAGCTCATATAGGAGGGGGAACAGCTAATGCTTTAGGTAATACATAACGGATTATAAGTGTTTATATGTAAGGTTTAATAGTCTGAATCTTATATTCTAAATGTTATTTTATTTTAA